GTGACAGTTAAAATATATTTTTTGAACTGTGGGCCCTTTGAGTCTGACCAAGGTTTGGAGTTTTAAAAATTTATTTCAAGGGCCCGAACTTGTCCCTTTCTGGTAAAATTGACTGAAACCAGGGGCCCCCAAATTTTGACCTGCCAAAACCCCAACCCAAAAAAAATTCCCCCGACGGAACTTTTGGTTTTTAAAAAAAGGGGAGTTTAAAACTTTTTTAAAATGTACCCTGTTTTTGATTTAAAATAATTTTTAAACCCTTTTGATTTTTAAAAGGGAGGGAAACCCGAATTAAAAAAGTTTAAATTTTTAAAAAAATCCTTTACGGTCTTTTTATAAATATAAAAATGAGACGCGTTTACGAAAAAACTAAAAATTTTAAAAGGGGTTTTTGACCCGCAGGAAAACCAGGGGCCAGCCGCCAAATCCGCGCCCGTCTGATCAGGGCCATGTGTTCGGGGTTTTTGTTTTTCCCCCTAAAAATTTATAGAGTTTGGCCCCAACAAACAGCATTGGGGTTTCCCGAATTTAGAAATGCGCGGATGCACAGGGGGGCCGGACCATGCTGTGTTGCAAAAATACTTATGTTTGGGTTTTTTTGGACGGGGCTTTAAAAAAATTTTAATTTTTTTCTTTTAAAATTATATTAAGTTAAGGGAATTTTAAAGTTTTAAATTTAATTGGGAAAAAATATTTTTTTGAAAAAAACAACTTTTTTGTTAAGATAAGAAATTTTAACCCAAATTTCCCTTTTCCTTTAAAAGGACTATCAAATTTAAAAAATAAAAGGTTTTTAACATGCATTTTTTTTTTTCAAGGTTATAAAGAACCTCCCAAAATAAAATAGAAAGGGTTTTTAGAAACTGAAAGGTTCCCGAAGGAAAACACCGATTTCCAAAAAATAACCCGGGGAAAAATGGCGTTTTCTTACAAATAAAGCAATTTTCCCTTTTCGTGGGTGGGTGGAGAAATCGACCCATTTCCCGTAAAAGAAGCTTTAACCAAAATAGGGGGGAAAGAACCCTTTTCTTTTTCAGGTAAAAAAACATTTCACCCTTTTTTTACGTTTTTTTTTGCCCCGATTGTTTTTTTGGCCAAAAGCCGGTCCTTGGGAAAAACCTTTTTAAATTCCTGTTAAAATTTAAAAGGAAAGAACTGAATATAAGACGGGTGATTTGGGCCCCCTTTTTTTAAAATTACAAAAATTCCCTATATGGGAATCTTTATTGGCAAATTTAAATAAAACGTTTTAAAAAATAAAACCCCATCCAAAATTTTAAAAATTTTTCCCTTTAAATAAAATGTAAAAGGGTTTTTCTTTAAAAACCCAGTTTTAAATTTTTCCCAAAAAATTTAAGTTTTGTTTTTTTTCAAAATTTCCCTTCCCTTTCAGGGTCTCCCTTATTTTTCCAGTGGGGAAAATTTTTTTTTAAGTAAGAATTACTAAATTTTTTTCCCCAAAAATTTTTAGGTTTTTTAAAATTTTTTCCCAAAAAAACGAAAAATGAAAATAGAACCTTTTCAGGTCCCCTTGGTTTTTTGATGTTTTAATTTAAATTTTCCCCAAATTTTTAAAATTTTGGTTTATGGAAGTGTTTCAATTTTATTAATTTAAATTTTTTGCTTTTCATATTTTTTTTCATATTTTAAACAAGTATTTTTTTTAAAATTTAATTTTGCCTACCGACGCGGGTAATTTTGGTTTTTAGAAATTCACGGCAGGGTTTTTTTTTAGAAACAATAATTTTCAAAAAAGTTTCCATTTTTTAAGATTAATTACCCGCTAGCCTTTACAAATTTTTTTGGGTTTTAATTTTTGGGATGGAAAAAAAGAACAATTATATGGGATTAAAACCCGTTTTTTTTTTGGCCGAGGGATATTTTTTTTTTAAAAAAAACTTCTTGGGTTAAAATTAAAAAATATATAAAGGTTAATTTCAGAACTTTTGGGGCACCCCAAATTTTTAAAAAAAAACGGAGTTTTCCCTTTCCCCTTTTTTTGAGTTTTTTTTAATTTGAATTTTAATTTTTTCTTTTCAAAAATTTTCTCAAAAAAATTTTGATTCGCTTTAAAAAGGGGGGATATAAAAACCTTTTCATAAAGGGGTTGGCCCGGGTTTTAAAAAAATATATCTCTCAGAAATTTTTTTTAACGGTCCCTTTAAAATAGGGATCATCCCTTTCCCCAAAATATTTAAAAAAAAATATTTAAAACAAAACAAAAAACAGTAAAAAACACCAAAACTGTATAAAACTTGTCGATTTTAAATTTAAAATTTTTCTCATCACAAATAAATATTTAAAAACGAGTTAAAAGGTTTAAATTTTTATGCCCCCCCCATTTTGGCCCTTTTTTTAAAACTCAGTAAATGTCAAATTTAAGAAATATTTTTAAAAAAATACCCTGTCTTTTTATTAAACCTATAATTAGTAGGAATATTAAAAATTTGTGTTTTTTTTTTCTTTTGTTTGTTAGTTTTTTTTTTTTTTTTTTTTTTTTGTTGTTTTTTTTTTTTTTTTTTTTTTTTTTTTGTATATACAAATGTATTGTAAACTGTAACATGTTTCCACATTCTAAGAAATGAAATATGTTTATACAAAATATCAAGGTCAGATCTTTACATATTCCTGTGCGCTGTTTTGTTTTCAACTTATGAATCAACTGTATGAAATAATATTAGAAAGTGCTGGCCAGTTTGCAGGTTAATTAAAATCGGAATCATTGTTTTGTGTATTTTTGTTGAATAAAATGAAAATAGAATATAGCCATTATCATACAGACCCGACGCTATATCCCTATTTTGTACCATTTTGGTGATATGGTCCTTTCAATATAGAAAACAAGATCTACCTATAATACAAATATTATGCAAGTTTCGTCTTACAGATTGGTCATTTTATTCAGTTTAGTCTTCAAGGAAAGCAAGATGGAATCAGACCGATTCAAGAGAAGAATGATACATGTAATGCTATCACATTAACATGAAACTGTTAGTATGCAAACATAAAATTGTTGAGGGACGTACGCCCGTATTATACACATCAAGCGATTACAAGAGCTCACCCTCAAAATGAAGAAATCGTGAATTGAAAATAATGTTTATGATGATTTATGATGACCATGTTTAAGTGTAAACATTGCTTCATTTTTATATACCTGTGTCGGAGTTAGTATATGAAACTTTTTATTGTACTTAAGCATGCTAATTTTCAGTATGGCTTTGTAACACCGTTGACTGCGATGGTTGTGACGAAACCTGAAGTGGAACCAATACCAACAGATCCACCACGTGAGCAACTTCTGATCTTTATATAAATGTCTGGATGAAATGTTCGTTTTAGTTTATCATTTTTATTCGAAATATCCCAATTTTTTGATTAAAACATTATTTCCCTTATTTCTCATTTAAAACAGTTTTCCATTTACTGAGTTATAAAATTTTTAACCCAAAAAGAACACTATATAAAAGCAATAAAAAGTAGATGATAGTAAACGTAAATTCTATGTTTTTCCCCGAACAAAATAAACCGGGGGTTTAAAAAATTTTTTATTTTAATATTTTATTATTTAAAGATATAAGGTTTTAATTTCATTTTTTTTTTTTCAGAAGGGGGTGAAAAACCTTTAAAACCCGAAGATCTGCCCTTTTAAAATTGAGAGGGCCATTTTTGGGGGGGACAAAAAGTAAAAAATTTCAATTTATTTATTTTGCACCAAAATTTTTCATATAAATTTCAAAAAATACTGAATTTAACATAATGTCCTGTGAATAAAAATTTTGAACTTTGAAATTAAAATTTTTTTTTAACCCCAATTGGGAATAATCCAAAAATGTCGGGCTGGACAACGATCCTCATTTTAATAAAATTAACATAAAAGGGTCTTGATAATGCTGTTTGTTTTGACGTCAATGGGAAATGAAGGTGACGTCTATACACTTTGTTAATGACAAATATAGTGGTAAAGTGTTCTACATTCCTTGGGAATGTTAGTTTATTGTTATTATTATATGAAAAAGAAGATCTCTTATTTCTAAAAGTAATTAACAAACAAAAGTCAACACATTCAAAAATTAATTAAAACAATAAAAGTTTTTTCCTATTTACTCATGTACACCATTAATAACAATTTCATATGTGGTATCCGCTTTTAAGCGTTAAATGCGGGTTTTTTATGAGTTCTTATTGATTTTAGTATTTTTTTCATGCTGTATATTTGTTCTAATTCGTCGTGGAACATGTTACTTATTTTTGTTAAAATTTCTATTTAGCATATACAGTAATTTTTAAATTTAAAGGTTTAGCCAATAGATCAAAGGTTTTGGGTTTCCCCAAAAAAAATGATTTTAAAACGAAACAAAAGGGATGAGTTTAAAAGTCGGTGAAATAAAGACTTTAAACCCTTTGGGGAGGGTAACAATTTTAAAAAGATGGGCGATCTGAAATTCTCTTTACACCCCAAAAAATATCACATTTCGGGAGAAACAGTACAATTTGGGTGAATGGGGAAAAAAAGCTTCAATGCAAATTGAAATTTTTTTAAATTTTATGTATTTTATGTATGTATTTGTTTGATGTATTGGGATGTATGGGATGTATGTTGTATGTCGTGGTGTGTTAAGTGTTGGGGTAAGTATTAAAACAAAAGAACCTGCAAAAATGACCGGGAAAAACCCGTAAATTCATCCCAAAAAGCATATTTTTTAAATTTATTGGTTTTAAAATTTTTTTTGATTTTTTTTTTTTAAAAAAGGGTGAAAAAAAGATAAAAAAAATTTTCATTAAACCTAACAAATTTTTTAAAAAAATTTTTTCCCCAAAAATGAGCCCTTTTTAAAGTTTAAAATTTCCCAAATTTTTAAAAATCAATTACATTAAATTGGGCAATTTCCCCTTTTTATAATGTAAAGATACCATCCGCTCCAGTCTATGATTTTTTTTTTTAAAAATTTTGTGTTTTGCATTATTCAACTAATAACTGTTATTTATTTTCAGGAACGTTCTTAAATTTTAGAACAGCCAAAATAGTTTTTAACAAAGATGGCTCGGAATTGATGGTAAAGTTTGAGGACAGGATAACCATTGTTATAATGAGACATCTGAAGTCAAGGTCATTGCTCCGGGCGGGAAAAGTCAACTTTCTAGGCATATATATAGTAGAGCATCAAGGCCTATCTTACCACACGCATGGGATTCTAGGTATCAAAGCTCTTTTCATTTTATAGCAAACTATCTGTTATATTAAAATTAATAGTTAACGTTAAAGTGTTCAAAATAAGATGATATTTAAACTGATGTGTTATGATTTTAGGTCAGTTCTTACATAGGAAAGTCGTGTTGAAGAAAACGAAAAGTCATCAAGGAAAACTAATGGGACAGTTGAGAGTAAGTGGTAATACACAGAAGCCCCGGCGACTTATGGCAACTTTAGGCTTTCGACTCAATCCTGCCAGCAATGCCACTGTCCGGTGCTGGATGGTACAACACAATGGCGGTGCTCTTCTCGATGGAAACATTTCAGATTACTTAGTACAGTAAAATCGAAATTGTAACAGAATTGTTACAAAGTCACGATTTTATAAATACAGTTTATCGATCAGTGTTAATAGTGTAATTGAATCTTAAGTTTTAATTACATAATACAAAACATGAGTCTTATAAATTAGTATAAGAACTACCGGTCATTACATCAAATATGTCCCGTTTTAAACTGAAAAAAAAGAAAAGACAGAAAAAAATATAAAGAAAAGTTTTAGAATTTCATTTTCATGATTGCAGTTGAGTTTGTTTTTGATATATTTTACAAACATTTTAACTTAGTTTGACTACAAAATCTAAAAAAGAAGGCGAAAATTCTCTTACATTATGTAATGCTAGTTTTGATATTTTGTTATGAACTGAATTAAATGCGGAAATATAAAATTTACAAAATAACAGTACTATATAACTAAAACTATCGGGCATTTAATAGTAATTTCGATAATGTTATCCTATACCACACATGTTTTGTAATCTGCATCAATCGAAGGAAAGAGTTTGTTGCTTTCTGAACAAATTGTAATTGTATATATGTATATACATGTAAATAAAGTGTTCCCAAATAAAATACAATCATATTGGTCCTCATACCGAATAATTCTTTCAATAGCGGTGGCTTTAAAAGGCATTTTAGCGCGGAGGAAGGTGGTCAAGTACTCGTGTAACTCTCCAGGAACGATGGTTAGGAAAGTACCCGCCAATATGACTGTAATACTGTTGGGAAAAGGCGTAAAATGAAACAAACAAACAAACATAAGGGCATTTAGTACTGTATAAGCGGTTAATTTTGCGACGTGAAAATATTTGCGATTTTTTCGAAATGAAATTATTCGCAAATATTTGATCGCCCAATTATTATTGCTTTTGAGGCAAACTTTTTTCAATTATTTGAACACACGTTTTCATACAGTATCCTACATGAATAAGTTTGACTGTTACGTTATTTAGATTACTTTTTTCTCATCACTGGTTTGTTTAAGTTTGGTCTTAACAAATCACAAATGTTTTAATGAAACAATATATGTGTTATAGTGTTTATCTGTTATAAGTGATTACATTGAACTTTTTATATGATATTTATCATTTATGCCTCACACAACTTTTCACTAAAATCAATGCACAGGTGTATTTTTAGACAACAAGTTTACAGGTTTATTTTATAACATGGCAATATGAGCTATAAGATATTAACATAATAAACTATAGATGCATATATAAAACGCATTGACATAATTCTCTTATTTTCATATTTTCATTCCGTTTGTTTTATATTAAATAACAATAATGTTACCAATATATGCTTTGTTATAGAGATCCGACATAAACTCCGATAACATGACATAAAACTTTCGTTATTCAAATACTTGTTGTATAACAAGCCACATATTGTTGTATTAATTCTATGACATACATCAGATAGCAACATTATCTAATATCAAATTTTATATTATCCTGTCACTTGTATCAATTTCGGCCCGATAACAAGGTGCCGTATATTTTTACTGATCTACGGCACTTGATCACGTGGTATGCATGTTTGCCGGACTACTTTTCAAGAAAAAAATATAAAAACTGTCGTTTAATCTTCTGTGTGTAGAATAACGAATTTTGGAAACGTTGATAAAACTTTGTTTGTTTATTTTATTTCACTCTATAATTTTTCAAGCGAAATAAAAATTATTAAAAGTGAAATAAATGTGAAACTTAACTCGTTTGCGATATTAAAATAGCGTACTTGATTTGATTGTTTAGCACGTGCTGTTTGGCGCTACATTGTGACGTCACGTAAACAATACTTTAAACGTCTGTACAGCGTTAACGACTGAATAAAAGATATTGGTGTTCGAATTCATTTTCTTAGTTAGACCATTTTCTTTCATTCTAGACAGTTTTCACAACAAAATTCGACAAAAATTGTTTTTATTTATCACATTTTTACAAACAAAATGGCGCCCTCATTTTGAAAATACACACGGAGATCATAAGAACGGCGAGTGCATTGTTGTAGAATAATTAGGGCCTTCTTTGTTTATATAGAAACATTTAAGATAGTGTGATTAAAGGAAGTTTGCCAAATAAAATTCTTTAAAAAAACGGTGACAGGATAAATAGAATAATAGATTGGTGCCATGGATGGAGAAAGTTTATCTGGCTCTGCTCCGGAATTTATTGGGTTCGCCTTCGGCTCACCCAATAAATTCCTCCGCCTCGCCAGATAAACTTTCTCCATCCACGGCACCAACCTATTATTCTCTATATAATTTCCTTAATAAATATACAAAAGTGCTTTTATTTATCATAATAATTTGTATCTGTATTCATTACAGATTTAAATACCATAAAATTAGGTTTTCCTATGTATTTGTGGTCTGAATGCATTTTTCTTAGTTCAGAAAAATTCATCACCAATGCTATCGATAAAGTTACAAAGTAAACGCTTTCGTTGGTGAAGTTATGTTAAATTCCAGCTTCCAGTTTCTACCGGGCCCGGGAGTCTAACATTACGGGTTCGAAATTTAATAACATCTTGAAGCAGGATATGAGGTATATTTACTAAGTATGGTTCGAATTTGATATTGGCTTAACTTATTTATCGAAAATCTATTTGATATTTATCGGTCAGTGCAATTTTTCGACTTCTCAATAAGACAATACATTGCTTTAATGGCCTGATTAGCTATATCAGTTTTTACCTTAACAAAACAACCACTTCTGATAAATGTTACACCTGAATATTTAAATTCATCAACTATTTCTAAACTTTAATTCTTATCACTAAACTTATACTGTGAAGGTCTTCCTTTCGAAAATACAATACCTTTTGTTTTCGATGTATTAACAGTTAATTTCCAACTATCACAATACGTTTGATATAAGTGTATGGCATTTTGTAAATCAAAAGGTGATTCGGGTACTATAACATTAACTAAAGTTACTCAATTTACATTTTTGCATTTTCGAAATATTCATTTAGATCATTAAATAGAGATGACAGGTTTTCTCCCTGTCTTACACCAGTTGTACATGAAAAATAATCTAAGTTCTTACCATTTACAAATAGACATGTTTTAGCATTATAACAAATTATTTCTACAACATTGAAAAATTAATTTTCCATTTATATCATAACTACAGAGTTTTGTCCACAAATGTGTTCTACATATAGTATCAAATGCTCTTTTTTAATCTATGAATGTACAAAACAATTTCTTTCTAGAATTGACCTTACGACCGAACATTTCTGTGTTTCCTACAATAATTTTGACATTTGTATGTATAATTTTCGGTTACTGAGTCACATATCATATAGTTTTATAATATCGAAATAATTACAGTAAATCATATGTTACGTTATCTAGAACAAGTTAAGAACAAGAATTTGCTCTCTGTTCTAGAGGAAAATTCTGAACGGTAGTAAAAATGTTGTTTCGGCACAATTAAAACATTTGCTTTTGACAGGTTATTACAATTTCGAAGCGTTTTATGACCGTCTTGTCACCTTACCAATTAGCAATATAATGATTATTCATTGTCTGTACCTATTTTCAAGGCATACTACTTTATCTTAAATATTAAAAGTTGAATGCTCCATCTTGTTTAGTCACTAGCAGACATTATTGAAGCTATTATAAATGACATGATCCATTAATAAAGCAAATGAAAGAGTTTTGACCAATAAATCGTTTTCCTTAATTTTTTAAACTTGCTAAAATGTCACAAAATCACAAAACACAAGTTCATGTTAACAATATTACAAGCTTCATATCTTTCTTTTTTAACATTTTGTTGGCATTTTAATTATATTCACTAAATGTTAGTTTGCTGAAAGTTTGAACAAGATTATTATTTACATACAAATGTAACAACTTAATGGCCATTGACTCTGAAACAAGACATATAAAAGCTACATTTTTCAGTATATCTTAAAATCTTAACGGATTATATTTTTTCTTTAAATATAAAGGATGCTGGGAAACAGAATATTACATTTCTGTAAGCAAAAAAAATTCCTTTTTTCAATTTTACTATTCATGAATTAGTAAGCATAGAAAAAAACAGGTACAATTTTATATACTTCCTATTTTATATAGATCATTCTGAATAAAAATCACTTATCATTTGTCATTACTCTCTCTCAAAAATATTTTTGACTTGCAGGTATTGGATTTCTCATATACATACATCATAGGATTAAAAGCCGTGGCAGCACTACTACATGTATAACTATTAAATCGGTCGTACAGGTGTAAGATAAATCGACATTACACTTTATAACTTTTTTCTTGTAATGCAAAGGCAAAAAAATGCATTTTTTGAATATTACGTTTAAACTTTCGTGCTGTATGATTATTTTAAACTTGATATATGCAGAAGTTATTGAGTATAAATAAATGCTCAAAGATATTCCTAACAAATAAAATTTTGTTCGGGAAAAAAACGTAAAATAAATTTAAGAATGCACAAAACATAATTTTTGCTCTCCATCGTATTCAAATTTGAGAAAGTTTTTAACGTAAGTTATCGCCTAATTGCAATCTTGGCAGTAAATTAAAAAAAATTATAACATATATTCGTATATTAGAATACATAAACCATCCGTATGCTGTGCGACAAGAGAAATATCTGTAAACTCAAACGAATCGAAGGCGGAATTAACACTGTCGGAATAAAAAAAACTTACAGGGACTGTTGACCCGTGCAGTAACATTAATATTCGAATTAACTAATTCTGTTTATTTGGTGTGACACAAGGAAGGAATATATAGATTCAGAAATGTTTCCATTTTAAACAGCTCATTAACTATATTGAACAAGTCCATAATTTGGCCATAATCAGATTTAACACTAACAATGTCAGACATTCCAAATGTGTAAGATATTTTAAAAATATCATCGTCTGAACTGATATAACATAAGATATTAACGATTATTAATTGATATGTCAATCAAAATAGGCCATCTTTTCAGTACAATTTTTTGTTTTGGTTCAACATTTAACATTAATACCAATGCTTAATCGATTTATATTTAACGTTTCGTCATTTTCATGTAAACTGATTTGGCATGAAGTGATCTTGCAAGTACGATAATACAAAGACAACTATTTCATTCAGTTAGAATTTTCATATGAAGGATATTTTTTATAGTCAGTACATGTATATATATAGATGGTTTAAATGAAAATATACGCAGATTAGAGTTGTTAAGTTATATATATCTGCTCCTTCGAAGTTGTTTTGTTTTTTCTTTGGTCCAGTTCGACTTTTATTATGCAATTCATATGACTCACGGATTTTAATGAAATTTTGTTCCAAAATGATCAACCTATTTCAAACATTGCAACTTCTTGTATGAAATCTTTTTTATTAAAGTTTAACTTATGAAATTCAGGAACTTCTAAATTCCGGAATCTTCCGAAATCCGAACATTTTTCAGGGTCCCGAAATTTCTCCTTCTGTTTTCCATGTAATTAGTATCTCTGAATTAAGGAACTTCTAAATTCTGAATTCCAAACGATTTTCTGTTAAAATTTGGGTAAATTAAAAAAGGTGTGAAGGAATATTTTACTTTTA